CTTTTTTTTTTTCAAAACCCCCCCCCCCCCCCCCCCCCCCTTTGACTCCGTGTTTGGCGCAAGCAGAAGCAGAAAGCGCTGCTGCTGAGAGCCAACAAAAGGAACAGAAGATCTGTTGGAGACGAAGAGAATCGGGAACTTGGCGTCTCTCTCTCTCCTTTAACACCCCTGAGCCCCCCGTCTCCCTCCTCCTCTCCCGCACCCCCTCCTCGCCTTGCATTCAGTGCTAGATGAACAGCCTGTGTGATCCACGATCCTCATAGACGCACTGAAGGGATTTGCGCTTATTGTTTGGAATTTCTTTTAATAAAGAAAGAAAGAAAGAAAGAGAGAAAGAGAGAGAGAGAGAAAAACGCACTTTGCTTTCGAATGACAGCAAACAGTAAGAGTGTGTGTCCCCAGACAGAGAGACAGGGTCGGTGTGTGTGTGCGTGTGTGTGTGAGTGTGGTGTGCTCACCGCGACTACCTGCACACAGATTTGGATTAGGACTAATGAACTGGGGTTGAATTATCTCCCAGGGCTGTTGACCAGACGCCTCGTTGTCTCGCTGTGGGAATTCTTTTTTTTTTTCTATCTTTTTTTCTTCCCCCCCTTCCTTTTCGGATTTGAACGATGCCCGTCCGGAGATCTTCTGTCGCTTTTCCCAAATGCTCACTTCTGGTGTCGCTGAGGATTTTGCTTCTTGTGCTTCACGCAGGGTCTCCGGTCTACAGCCAGGGGGATTCTCAGTCCGACAACAAAGTGATGGACAACATCACTGTCCGACAAGGAGAGACGGTCTTCCTCAGGTAAGCGCAGATGAAGTGATCTAACAACGTGGACCTGCATTGTGTGTTTTTTTTTGCTGCTGGTTCTCGTTTCGGAGTTGCTTGTGTTAAAGTTGCGCGCTGCGCCGCGCCGCGCCGCCTGCAGGCTTCACCCGAAGGGATCGACGTGAAGGGAAGCGCAACTTAACAGGTTGCCTCGTTTTTTGTTTTTTTTTTCTTCTTTTATCATGAAGCAACCTCGGGTTTAAAAGAGGGAGCGGGATTCCGCGGGATTAGTGCCAGAAAGAACATTGAACGCAGAACGAATAGCCTGCTTCTAATCTCCGACAGCTGTCAGTAACACTCTTGGCTGCGTTTGCAACTAATGCAGAGTTTAGTGGGGGAGATGATTATTTTCTGAGAAGACAAAACAGCTGGTCCAAGTAAGGCAGAAGGGAGGAGGAAGCTGCTTGGTCATCGAGCAGCACTGACCAGAGCTGACCTTTCCCCTCCTCTGCGCTCTGAGGGAGGCTTACTGCACTCACACGGATCTAGGTTGTGTCCAAGTGCCGCCGGGCTTTGGTGAGCAATGATCACAGCAGTGTCACTTTAACAGTAGATGAACGTCACAAAAAAATCTACATTGGTTGACAAGTTCAAGTTAGGTGAGATCGTTATCATCACTACTAAAAATGGATTTTTTTACTTATTTTTTTATTTATTTTTTTTTTCCCCCGCCTCCTCAATGATTACTTGCAAAACCGAAATACTCCAGCGGTGTGAGTAGTTTTGTAGCTACTCGGTTTGCAGAATCAATTTAATACACAAACTGGAAACTTTCTTATAAACCTCTTCAGGACACTGGTGTTCAGAACACAGGCTAACCAGTGTCACCTTTATTCCTGTCGATTAACAGGAAATGGGTTTCATTTTGACAAATGCATATATATATATATATATATATATATATATATATATATATATATATACACACATATTCTGCTGTGTTCCTCCTCCTTGGTGGATCCGGTCCGCCTGTGCTTCTCCATGCTCTGTGAGCTGTTTGTGAAGAGCTCAGACTGTAGCTGCTTCACTTCTGCATTAAAAGGAGACAGTTTCTGGCGAGAATTCGGTCTGGACATCTCCCAGTGGGAGCGGGCCTCGGGGCAGACCCTCTAGATTAAATCACACTTCCGCTTTGGGAACGAGTCCCACCACCACATGAGCAGAAGGATGAATTTGAGGGCAACATAACAAAAAAAAAAAGTTTCTGAACATCTGGGTTGGTAAACCTGCAACCTGCTCTCAGATGGGCAGACTGGCGTTAGGTGTTTGCTGTAAAGGTCAGATTTAAATACTGTGGTGATATCTCAGCTATTAGTTACGACTGTATTGGTGATTGGAACTGTTAGATTTAACCGCTAGAGTACAGATAATTGCTGCAAATGGCGGCGCTTATTAAAGTGAAAAGGCAGATAACTTTTCTATTTGTTTGAATGTTTGAAGGACAAGCTAAAACAGACTACAATCATTATCACACATTTGCTTTGCTTACAAATGTGTGAACTTAATGGCAACGTTTCAGATACTTTTACAAACAAATTACGACGTAAGCATTTTCTGAATTGTTGACTGGTTCGTATGAAGGGCATCCTTTTCATTTCATGTTTTATTGTCGTAATGTCTGTCTGTCACACACTGCAGTCAATTTGTAAGTACAGCTCTCATTGTGATCAAGCTGCCTTTTTAGTTTTTCAGCTTCAACCAAAGTCTCTGCAGAGTCGCTTCAGCCGGCTTCCTGCATCAAACTCCCAAAAGCGACTGTGCTAGAAAAAATGACTTAATCTTCAGAGTTCATCCAGAGTGTGATGCATCTGAAAAAAATAAAAGAAAACAAAAAACAAAAAATTGAGCAATATTTTTGCTAGCTGGAGAAAGTGAGACTTTGTGTATTATCAGCAAAAGAAGTGTTATATTTATTTCCATTTATTTAGGTATATTTCAGTGGCACATTTAAAGTTTGCATCACAATCAAGTAACTATGTTACATTCAGATGATATGGACATTTTGTAAAATAACTTAAAAGAAAGGTGACTTTGCGTTTTAGCGCCGTCTGACACCTTGAAATGGGTCTCTGTCTCTGCAGAGCAGCTTTTGGTTGCCAAAGGAGATTATAAGATAATCAGAGCAACACAACATTGTATAAACTTTAAAAAAAAAAAGAAAAAAAGTTGAGTTTGCATAATGCACCCTGCCCCCTATAGAGGATTTCATTGACCATGAAGTCCTGAGGAATTTTTACTTGCAATTTGTTTCTTAGGCAACAAACGAAGTCTGGCTCCGCTGGGAGCCGCCAGCCTCCAGTGCTCAATGTAATTGTGAAAACTTAAGTGTATTAAGTTTAAAGTCCCATTTCTCTTTGCTTGTTATTTGACCCGATTTGAACAAGCAGCTGAGGAACAGTTTATCTTAGCGGGAGCTCAGCTGTGACCACTCACCTAGCAACCTACTAGAACCGCAGCCGAAGTGCGCGCCAGCACACACGCCGCTCTGAATCACGTAACGACGCCGCAAGCCAATGTTCAACACCGCTTTATTGAATTTTCACAATGAAGATGAGGATCTATTCATGAAGGCAGAATAAGAAATTGCTGAAACAATACGGCAGGGCAGAGACTCAGTGGCAGAAGCACTGCCAGTGAGCGCAGAGTGAAACACACACAGAGGACTGGTGCATTGGAATCACCAATGCCTCTGCAGTAAGAATGGTGACTGATATGCTAAATGGAGGAGCCAGGAGTGAGATCTGCTGTTTTATTCTGGTTTGCATGTTGAGCTTCCTGCTGCCTTGCCCCTACGCCGACTGCTGCTCCTCCGTAAGTTTATGTTCATTAGAGAATTTAATATTCTACGTTTGAAATTAAGCAAGGTTAGTTAGTACTGCGAAAACAACCTCGCTTTTCTATTGACCAGAAAATAACGCGAATTGAAGTTGCAAAAATAAATTCACTCAACGGGAACTCCAACCTAGAAAACGCATTTCTCGATAAAAAGCTCCTGAGCTGAGACCAGGTGGTTTTTCAGCTGTATTGAAATAGATGTGTGTCACGAAAACGCAATCAGAGCACTAACACGGTTTGTTTTTCACCGACAGTCGATCTACCAAAGCTCTCACAGCTTCATAAAAAGTTACCAGTTACTCAAAAATGTTGAATTCGTAGCTCTTCTGTAAAACTTCCAATTGCAATTTTCCCAAAAAATGCTGGACATGTAGGCGCTCGTCCTACGGCACACGAGCTTTGGGATGGCTGACAGATGATGATAATTATAGGAATAGGTAACATTTGTTTACATTTGTCTCTGCTGTAATTTTGAATCGCTTATTCATGTAATTTAATTGTTTTTCTTATTTTAATGGAAATATCGCAGTTTTTAAATTTTATGGGGTTTTTTTTTTTGTACGTTAGCTAAAGACAAAGCTTTGCGTTATGAACATTTGAATACCACTGAATAGTTCATTTATGTCAGTAAATCAACTAACCAGATCAAACACAGTATTTAAATTAATTAAACAGACTGACATTTTCAACTCTTTATTTCTGTTTACTGTGATGATTTTCCTATTACAGCCAATAAAAACACAACATTGAAGGTTGAAAGATTAAATTAGACCAATTCAGAGAAGCATTTTAAATGGTTTACTATGTTTAATACCTGCACAAAGGGCTGGTATTATGTACTTTTCAGCCACGTTGTGCCATTTTACAGCACAATCCAGTAACTGTGTTATGGTCAGGTTTTATAAAAGTGCTGTATATATCAAACGTAATTAAAAAAGATATTTGACATCACAATTTGAAGTTGGCTTTTGCATATTTAAGAAGCTGCTTCTCTTTCCGTCATTCGTCACAACAATGCTCCCTCATCATGCTGTTTACAACCATTCTGAGGAGCATTGGGCTGAGAAATAGTTTGTATCATAAGCTCTGCGGGTGTGCAGCTCCACCAGGTGTCAGCTAAGTGCTGCTGCTGCTAGTCTGGAGGATCTTTGTGGGGAATCCATGGGGGGGCGGAGCTCTGTGAGGGAGAAGCCCGGTCACTCCAGGAGCTTAGCGGAAATAGGCGGAGCTTTGTGGAAACAAGCGGTGAGACACCCCGAATGGTTGAACAGGGAGATTCAAGGATTCTTCAAACAAGCATGGAAGAATCGAAGCAACACTGACGTCATAACGTGATGTAAACCTAAAAAAAAAAAAAAAAAGTGGATTTTTAGTAAAAACTCCCCAGTTAGAGGTTGTTATTTTATCTGGTGAACACACCTCATCAGAAAGTAGACTGTAATTTATTGAACATGACTGCAGACAGAATCAAGTGCAGTTGGTTTCAATACAGGCAGAATGTGAACCTGGCTTTGCTAGAGGTGCAAAATTAAAATGGGAAATGTGTTATTTTTACTATAAATGTATGGCCACAGGGTAGTTTGAGTGTCTGTCTGTCTGGAATTTATCCCAGGTGGCTTAGTCAAAGACTAATGGCCCCAATATATCTACCACTATGCCACACACCACACCATAAAGAAACTATAATGTTACTTTTCGATTCTTACTCTGGTCTTAGACGTTATCTTCGATCTATCTGCATGAAAAAGGGCTGACACAGTAAAACACAGAAATTAATATATGACGGTGAATGACTAGGCAAGCCAGTAATGTCTTCTGGATAATACTTTTTTTTTTTTTTTTTTCTCATCCAAATTTTACAGGCGGCAAGTTGGAAGATGAAATTCCTCAGTAGTTCATATATACTGTGGACCGCATGCAAGCAAAGGCTGCACCGTTGTCAAAACATATGATGTACAAGACCAAGAACCACAGCAGGGGAGCGAGCAGAAATCAGAATCACCTTTCTGAGAACACGTGTGTGTGTGTGTGTGTGTGTGAGAACACGTGTGTGTGTGAGATAATATTATCAGACGGAGGAAGAGTCCGACTGATTGTTTACCTGATACTTTGTGCTTGCTGGAGAGGCTTCAATGTCAGGA